GATTCTGGAGCTAAGACCAAAATAGTGATAAAACAGTACCGGCTCACCTTTCTCAGCGATGGCTCTACCGATTTAAGTACAACTGTTCCCATTTTCTTTATAGTTGTTATAGCTGTTGTTCTATAATTAGAACCCTATTTATTGAATTTCATGTCGATTGGTTGTTTGTTATCCGGAGGTATGACCAAAACAGTCATATTTTGCGATAAATCAATAATACTCACTCTCCTTTCTCGGCGATGGCTAATTCGATTGGAGTGCAACTGGTTCCATTTTGTTTGTATTTAGTTCACATAGATCCTTATTGAAATTCATTCCGATCGAATATTTTGCTCCGAAGATATTACCAAAATAGTGATATTTTGCGATAAAACAGTAATACTCACTCACCTTTCTCGGCGATGCCTCAACCAATTCGAGTGCAACCGGTTCCATTTTGATGGTATCTACTTATCATAAAACTCTATTGAATTTCACGTTTGCATTTGAACTAATTTACCTCCAGATTAAAAATCCCAAGCAGTGAGAAGGCGGACTCTCTCGTAAAGGTAGGCGTTCAGGAAGGCGAAATGTATGACAGACAAATTTCACACGATGAATTTTACAATTTAATTCTTAAGTCGTCGTTACATTTATTTATTCCCGAAAGTTTACGATGGCAAATTCAATAAATTGTCATTTGTATCATTGGTTTCAAACACAATTACAGCTATTTGACGAATTTCGTGAACATTCTAAAAATTGAATTAAGATCATTCCGAGAATTATTCCATAGGTATCCAGAGGAGGATTTCAAATGAAATTCTGAGTAATTTTCTAAGTCTATTTTTGTCAAATTCTAAGGTGAATCCCAAATGAATTTTGAGGTAAATTCCATGGTTATTCCCAAGGTTATTCCAAAGAAATAACAAAGAGGAGAGAAATTATAGTGATTTTTTTTTAGAAGAATGTTATGATGATAGTAATGACGTTAATGGAGTGGTCTGCAGAGAATTCCTGTAACGTTATCGAGAAAATTTCAAAAGGATACCAGAAAGAATCACTAGAGAAATTCTGAAACGAATTCTTAATAGCTTTCGAGATGACTCTAAAGAAAGTCTTGAGAATATTCCAAACAAATGCTACAAAAACAAGATGGATCTGCCAAAGTCTAAGTTGCGATCTGCTGCACATGTTCAAAACATGTGTCAATCGTCAGAGAATACCATATGTTGAGGATTTTGACGTAGGATTACGTCTTTCGGCAACATATTGGGATGCAATTTCGAAAAACCAAAATCGACCACATTACGAAAAGAGGTCAGGTTTTGACCACACATAACTCTGTCAATAGCAAATGGATTTTAATTCTAAACAAGGCAAACGATTGGAAATTTGTCTACCAATCTGCTAAATACTTTAATAATTTTCAATAGGTCACTATTGAAAAATACACAAATGTCCAACTGTTGCGCATTCCCTGACACAGATTTAAAAATCGAATTTGATCCTGTCTCACTGAACGGTGCTCATTCAATCACCGTGTGTGGTGGTATCCGGTCGTCGGTGTTAGCAGCACCAGCAGCAGCAGTGCTTTCGGTGTGCGGCATTGAACATCGTTCTCCAGTACACAACGAAATGCAGGCAGCCTGCAAGCAACGAGCTGGAGAGCTCACATGAGCATCCATAGAAGGAGGAAGAAGCCGCACCGCTATGGATCGGTGTTTCTTCGTGAGTCGCTACGGGTCATCTATGCCAAACGCATCACCCTTGCTCCAAACAACATACAGCTCGCCAGCCTCATCCGCGTTGATGAACACCCTAAAAGCTCAGCATGACTCAACCATCACGACAAAACGGTCCTTTTCAGGACCACCATAAATTTGTTAAAGAGTATGTCTTGGACATTTGTCAAGTTCATCAATCGGATGTCAGTTCTTGCAAGCAGCTAGCTATCAAGGCTCATCAACCTGGTCTATAGAAGGTGTAGAATTGTAGGCCTAAATGTATTGGTGTAATCTGTGGGTCATCTATGCCAAGCGCGTCACCCTCGTTCCAAACAACATACAGCTCGCCAGTCTCATCCGTGTTGAACACCCTAATAGCTCAGCATTACTCAACCATTTCGACAAAACGATCCTTTTTAGAATTACCATAAATTATTGTTGTTTTAGAGTTTATTTTCATTGAACGTTCGCTCGCCTTTCTGCCAGCCACATCACCCCCGAAGCTCTTTGATACTTCACCCAGCAACCAAATGTTTGTCGTCAACTGCGTAACAGTATTGAAGTGGTACATACAAATTCTCGCAATGACCGACTACCACATGACCATGTCAATTAACCAGAGACACATCGTAAGGTTTTCTCCAGGACATTAGAAAAAGCTAAAAAATCTCGAATTTATATGATTGATCGCGATTGGAAAAATTTGAGCAAGAAATTCCTCCAATATTTTTTTGTTATTATTATTATCTATTGAATAGAACAAAAATTCCATGCGTATTGTGTACGTAAATGTGAAATTTTGTCATCAGAAAACGAGGCGTTTCCGTGATGGGAAAAGTGGTTTCCCTAACACAGTAGCCGAATATTTATATCAAGCACTGAGCATGCCAGACGGTAAAAAAAAAACCTTGAGTCGCCATTGAAAATTTAGACGACTGCTGAATTTATGTATGGGCCCAAATTAGGGGCATTTAGGCCGACATTACATCCATTTCCCCATACATATTTCATTTCCGCACCGCTATTACTTCCAAAAATATCGAGGAAAAATTTCCACAGCATTGTTCTTAACTAGCTTCCAACCCATCGGTCCATTCCACAAATGACTAATAAAAGAGTAAACTAAAGACTAAGAGCTTGAATCCAAGACATATCGTCCAGGATTGGATTGTACTGCATGAACATCGACAGAGCACCTCAAAAACAGAACTCTCAAATTGCTTCCGAATTTCAACCTACCGAAATTTTTCACTGATAACGATTAAGAAATCAATTTAATATTTGCTATATTTTTGCTGTGACATCATAACTACCTTTCGTAATCCTGCATCAAATCTACGGATACAACCTCTTACTTTTTTACTCAATGACGTTGTCAATATGAGAGCTGATCATGAGTTTATTATCTTTCAAGTTGATTCAGGTATAGAACTTTGGGTACGAAAACTTATAATTTCAGATGCAGAATTTGGAAATATTTTTAGCATTTTGAAATTTCGAAAACATGTTTTCATGTGTCAAGGCTTGCAAAAACTTGAGACATGACTTAAAGACTTCAAATATAGTATATAGAATAATTACTGTTTGGCTCCGTTGAACACTTATTCCCGAATTGCGACAACCATGGGGTGTAAGGAATTTGATTTGCTTTACGGATTCCGGCCCTGCACGGTATTGCTAAGCTGATTTTCATCGTTGGTTTTTGTTAATGGGAATCTCATCTCTAAATTTGATCTCCTCTGCCAACATTATTTTGACTTTAATGTTCACAAATGACGGGATGGGCGATTAAGCCTTGTTCTTACAACAAGCTTCTCCTAATCGAGGTTATCAATTCTGCAAAGCTAAACTGAACTACTAAAGCGATTAATACATTAATAAGAGCAAATATAATATACCTACATGAAACAAAATGCAAAAATTGATCAACTTAAACCACAAAAACAATGACTCACCCGACTCAGGTATCGAAACAAGCTACTTCATATAAATTCACATGGATGAAACTGTATATGTATTTAAAACACTTGAAAGTCATGTTGTATCAAAAGTGCTACAACAACTAGTCATCGCGTGAAGCACTTTGGTTGAGAACGAACGAAAACCCGTTTCCATCTGTCAATTAATTGAAAATCTCTCGATCAAACTTTTAAAACATACTTACGCCCAAATCGGACTAGATCAAACAACCCGGCATCGTCGTGGATGTGAAAACACACAAATCTACCTCTGGGAAATCGCACAGTACACCCAATCATAAGACCACTCTATGCAAACCACTAATACAGACAACCACGAGAGCAATTCAAGAGATTCTATAGAAGTTAATTAAATCACTTTTTATGCAGAAGATTGTATTCAATCGAAAGTCTATTGCCCGTCGTTTCAAAATCAATTTCAGGGATACCGATGGTCAAGGTTAAAAATGTTGAGAGCTATGTACCTATCTTGTGTAGAATCAAGCCACGCTCAGATGGATGACAACGCATATTCCACTACCAAAGCTCGTCGTAGGGTCCACACGTGTATGTGAGCGAATGACTTCGAACTTTTGCCTTAATTATACCGATTATCTCATGCAGAGGTACAAACTGGATTATCTTCGGAGGACTTGCTGTGGTCGCTAATAGTTTTGGCCTGATTATAAATCCAACTGCAGTCGAACAAATATAAAAAATGCCACATATGGTGGCCCATGTTCCAAATAAGATAGTTATTTATGAATTTCGCTCGTGCCGAACTGCTCCAAAATGAGGGAAACCGAAATTAAACCTCAAATAAATCAAATCAAATTTATGGATCTCGCAGTGCAACCGCAACAGGCAAAGGATTAATATGAATTCTAAATGTCATTGCTGCAGCATCGGTGAATTCACGTAGCCGGATGCAACCTGACGATAAATGGCACCCGCGGTGTCCCGAGTTCCAAGAAGTGATGCTTAATAATTTACATATCGATTCCATACAGGGGGTCCCCAATGCCATCGGTTGATGGAAATTTGCAGAACGATAACAATAAAGGTGTTATGCTATGGTGCTGATATACTTTTTCCGTTTCAATCCAAGAGATTTTTTTCTATTACTGCCAACATCGATGATATTTGTGATCATGTCTTTGTCAAGCTTTGAATGTAAAACACTTCCACCCAAATTTTAATTTTTGAAAATACCATAATAAGCTTTTCCATGGTTCTAAATGAGTTAAATGTTGTCAGAATACATCACAAAAAAAAATAACTGATTACGTTAGTTTCATGAAAATCATTATAAATAAGCAATTGTGAAGACACTCACCATTTCATTGCTCCCTGCTATGCTGTATCATTCAATCTCCTCCAGTTCAATAGCACTTGCGTTCTATCGGAAATCCACAATCAGTCTGGTTAAGTAATCCTATTAGTTACACGTTAACATCAAGGGAACACAAAAACACTACACCAAGCAGCTGCTGCTTACTCTCGCTTCAAGCAAGACGATCTCACAGAATCAAGATTAGAACACTATCATCCAACATTTCACCAATCATCTGCGAAGCGGCAACGATTTCCGCTTCACCATACCGTTAACAAGTTGGCAGGTACACTTCATTTCATATCTCGCAAAAACGGCCAACCTTATCACGGCACTTTATCTTGCACTTTTCTTCGGATCTCAGTCGATGACGATGTTCATAGTGACCACAAGTAAAAAAAAACCCACCGGCTATTACCATCAATCAACAGCTTTATACTGTGGGTTGCTCGTTTCAGCACCTTGGCACATTTGGCAAAGCCTGGGAACACTAAATATCACAATTGACTGGGCTCGATGCTCTGAAGACGCGTCTAAATTGGTTATAAATTATCGCGAAATAAAAGAACAAAAAACAATTTTGTCTAGTTTCCGCCTCGCCGAACAACGATATACAACTGTGAATTGATTCTAAATAGCCCGGCGCTCTACTAGCGTACGAACTGGTTTGCACCGATCTGGTTCAAATTTGACCTGAAAGCAGAAAAGAAGAAAACACATCTAGGTTAATTTTTTGAATTATTGAATTTTTTGAATCTTGTTCCTTTAATTAAGACTTCATTGAGCAGACTAATACAGGTGAAATTCAGTTCTTGTATTTTAGCGGCGCCGGTGGTGTAGTGATAAGCGTGATTGCCTCTCACCCCAAAAGGCCTGGGTTCAATTCCATTAATAACTAATTACATGGAAGTATAATCAAATATTTTATTTGTGGATGACATGAAGTTTGTGTTGAATCGCTTAAATGTGCTCATATATACTGACGATATGAAACTGTACATGGATATCTTTAACAATTCTGATTTGCTACATTTTAAAAATGAAATTGATGTTTTCTACAATTGGTGCGTTAAAAGTCTGGTGGATATTAATGTTAAAAAATGCAATATTATATCTTATTCCAGAAAACACACTACTCTAGATTTTACATGTACTCTAGGAAACCAGCTGGTTGTAAGGTGCGATAAAATTAGATTCTTGACTCGAAGTTGACATTTGTAGATCATCTGAATACCACAATTCACAAAGCAAATAATATGTTGGGATTCATAAAAAGATTTAGTTATCATTTTCAAGACCCATATACCATCAAAACACTTTTGCTTACGTGAGATAAATTCTCGAATATTGCATTGTGGTTTGGGCTCCATACCATGAAACTTATATAAATCGTATAGAATCAGTTCAAAAACAGTTTTTGTTATTTGCTCTTAGGAAACTAGGCTGGACCTCTTTTCCCCTTCCTTCTTATGACTCCCGTTGCATGTTGATAAACAATGAAACACTTAAGAAACGAAGATCCATGATTTCCTTCGTTAATGATATTATCTCACAACGCGTAAATTCAGAAAAAAAAATATTAGCAAGCTTAAATGTTTACGTACCATCACGCATGTTAAGAACTCGAACTCGTATTTCAACTGTCACCTCACAGAATGAATTATGGTAAAAGTGGACCAATCAATAGAATGATGCGAGTGTATAATAATTATTGTGAGCGTATAGATCTAACGATGTCTGAAGATACAGTAAGGAGAACACTAACTGCTAAGTTTTCATCTCGTTGAGTTTAAAACAATTTTTATTTCTTAGATATTTGTAAATGCAGTCTACATTTATTGACAATTTCAAATAAAACGTACGTTTTAAAATAGCATGTAAGGCAACTGCACTATTGTAAAACGGTCTACACTGATTGACGACAAATAAACAAATAAACAAACAAATGACTTTGATCAAAGTTGTAGCTGATAAAGCTTCCCATTAGAGCAGATTTCTAACTTTTGCGTAGATCACTGCAGCGAAGGGCTAGAACGTTGAGAACAAAAAGTTTACTTTCCCCATAGTAATTCTCATATAAACTTCAAATGGCTAGTGCAGTATGAGTTCACATCCAAATTAAATTTTTTGAGACATTTATCAGAACCTGATTTGGAATCGATTGAGCTTGATGAAGCGAAATCAACATTTGAACCACTCAAAGTAGTTAGTTAGTAAAGGTACGGTATTATCAATTTGAGGTAGCGGGTTCTATTCCCGGTTCGGTCGAGTAAATATTTCGTTTTGGAAAATTTCTCGACCTTCCTGGGCATAGAGTATCATTGTTCTTGCGACATAATATGCAAATGCATGCTTTGCACGCACAGTGTTTATTTTTGTGGTTTTCGTGCGCTTTTCGAATAGCATCTCAAACATTGATTTTAGAGGTACAGTTTGTTTGGAGAAGATTCTACTGTTGCTTCCACTTGCTATAAAAACTGTTTTCGGAATTATGAAATCATTAGACGTTATAGGAGTGTGGAAAATGATATCGACCGAGCGTGATCCATTTTTTGGAGAGCACGAGAGATCAACTTTAATTCGCGCGAGATTTATGCTTTATAGAAAAGCGAAAATAATATAAGCCGCGACAAATTACAGTTATAGATACACACGAGGATCCAGTGGAGGTGCCAAGCTGTATTAATCCTAGGCAAAAGGTAAGCTCCAAATTCGCTATTATCGTCATCGTTGGCAGTACTATTCTTATATTTTAAATTAACCATCGACCGTAGAAAATACACGAATTATCGCGTATTTTAATCGTTCGTTACATAAGGGAAATGGCTCTAATTGCTAAAAATCAGCTATTTATCAATTTTATCTAGATAAACGCGTCATTGCACAGTGGTCCAGAATGCAGATTGAGGTGGAATGATATGTTTTGAGTCTGAAATTGAAACTTTAGACTAAAAGTCTCTTCTACAAAATTGTTCCTTATAGTTCTTCTTCTTCTTCTTCTTATTCGCATTTCAAGCTTATTGCTTAGCGCATATTAGCTTATTGCGTGCTCTCAACTTAGTGTTCTAAATGCACTTCCACAGTTATTAATTGAGAGCTTTCGATGCCAATACCAATGCATGAATTTGTATATTGTGTGGCAAGCACAATGATACTCTATGCCCAGGGAAGTCGAGAAAATTTCCAACCCGAAAGATTCCCTCGACCGGACCGGGGAATCGAACCCGCCGCCTCCGGCTTGGTAATACCGTGCCTTTACTGACTAGGCTATGAGGCCCCTTGAGGTTCCTTATAGTTAGGCCCCATTTTTATGACAATGAATTCTAGGGTGGTTCTTATTATCATTAAAATAAAAAATCTAACTTTTTTGTTTGAATAATTTAAGGTATACATTCTTTGGAAAAGTTGTAAGTCATCTTCAAAAAACTTATAAAACTCTTTAAGACGAATGTTTTATAGCAAAATGTGTTGTCTGTATCTCTTCTAATAAAAAAGATATACCCAAATATAGTAAAAAAATTAGTAAATTCGAATTGATTTTATACGAGTTTAGAAAATTATTATTGAGAATAACATAAGTCCTTTCAAATGCCGTAAAAAACATTTTTTTTGTTTGCCCCAACCAGAGATATTAACATTTGAAAAGTGCACATTTTTAGCATAAAAACCTCAATAGCTCTTGATCGGCGAAAGATATTGACAAGCTTTCTGGAGCAAAAATTTGCGCCTTCTAAAGATCTAAAAGTCATTTGCTTAGAAATTTGAAATAAGAAAACTAGAGAGCAAAATAACTGTTTTTTTAGCGCCACCCTAACTCAATTCAAGAAAATAGCTATAAATCGGCCAATTTAAGAGATACAAAAAAAGTTGTTTTCTAAAAAGTTGCTTAAAATCAGCTCAGCTATAACTTTTCCGAAGAATGTATACCTTAATTTATTCAAACAAAAAAGTTAGATTTTAGATTTTAATGATAATAAGAACCACCCTAGAATTCATTGTCGTAAAAATGAGAGCCTAACTATAAGGAACAACATTGCAGAAGAGACTTTTAGTCTAAAGTTTCAATTTCAGGCTCAAAACATATCATTCCACCTAAATCTGCATTCTGGACCACTGTGCATTGGAACGATACTAATGGATATTTTGGTCGCTATTGAAAATTTAGTCAATTGCTGAATATAGGTATGGGCCCAAATTAGGGGCATTTAGACCGACATTACATCCATTTCCCCTACCTAAGGAGAACTTAATCGTACTTTGACGTGAAGCGCTGTAGATTGTGAGATGCTCGATGACCCTGGAGGGATCATTTTTGCTTAGTGAGCAGAAAATCACAGTTTTAATCCCATGCTCTTCCACAGCACAAAAAATCGGCATCGTCATTTGTATATTTAAGATTAACCATCAACCATGGATACTATTTGTATTATTGCGTATTTCAGTCGTTCGTTACATACCAAGTGAAAACGTAGTCGCGTTTAGTCGCCGAGTGTTATGGTTCTGGTTATGCTCGATAACCCTGGAGACATCGTTTTTACTTACTGAGCAAAAAATCATGGGTTTAATCCCAAGCTCTCCCACAACTGAATAAACCACCATGGCTGGATTTAGAGAGCATAAAGCGCCATTAACCAATATTTGAATTGTTTAAATCATTATCGCATTGGAACGATTCCTTACCTCTCAATAAGCCATAAACTTTAAAATCCACAAACACTAAATCACATAACATATGTCGAACTCGATAATCAAAAATCGACCCCATTTCAGTGATTTCAAGTGGTATAGAAAGACAACTATCTGTCAAATTGATAATACCAGCTGTAAAATGAGAAAGGGGTTCAAGGGGGTAGTCAATTATATTAAAATAATTATAGCGTGGTTTATAATTCTCTGCTTCTCTTAGAACTTTTGAACTTATGTCTTGGTTTTTCCTTAACTATTTACGTCCTTTATTTATAGCTATATAGCTAGCTCCTCCCCTTGCGTCACACAGCAAATAAATATATTAACGTTTGCAATCAAAAAAGTATAAATTTTTCGCCGATTCTGTATGCAATGATCTGCCAACCAACGATTAATCCTGAAATGTCATTGTAAACCATACGTATTGTTTTTCTGAAGTTATGGCAAAAAAGTGGGGAAACTCCACGCCAATACTTCTTCTAATCTTAAATCTTTTTGTATACTTAGAAGAAAATTGTATGTACCTTTTTTTTCGTTAAACTTTTTTTAATGTTTGGAGCCAACTGCATCAACATTTGATTTCATTTTGGATTCGTAGGAGGAAAAATACGACCCCGCAAATTAGGAGTTAACTGCATACATTTTGAAGTCCAAAGAGAAGCAGCATCATTTTGCAACAAGTGTCCCGATTTATGCGGAGATTATGCAGTGTTTTGAGCTGACCATCGTTTCATTCGCAAGAATTTCGCAAGCAGAACGATAAAGCAAATTGAGTGCTTATTGATACCTGTAATACCCAAGGATTCAATCCTCCATATGCTTCTCAGCTACGGCCAAGGCTGTGGCCAATTGAAAATGTTTTGAGCAAAAGATCTACTCCAATTATTTTGCACTAATAACGTGGAAAGATTGATTGAAAAGGCAAAGGAAGGGAACGGCTATATTTTCTAGCAACAATAAGCACTATTTACAAACGAAAGTAATCGTTTGAATCTATATTACATAGG